TCCAACATATATAACCACTTATATTACTATGTCGCACCGATGTGTGATCTTTATCCGGTTACCAATGCAATCTCTCTAGCTTTTGTCTCCATCGCTCCATCGAACCATAACCTTTGTCACCTAAGTGATCAAGTTTTTCAATATATGTTTACTTTCTAGTAGTTTGCATCCTTTTACAAACAAAAAAATATCAAATTTATGTCATGCATGTCAATTGAGAAAATAAGTTTGACTGGCTTTTGCTTATCAAATTAGTCATTCTGATGTGTAGACGTCTCCCTTGAAAGTGTCGGTGGAATAATGTATTATGTTTTTTTTTTTTCTTGATTAGTTTTCTCACTATCTTTGGGTATACCCTATACGTTTAGAATATGATGTGCCCTCGAAGTGTCTTTCGTTTTAGAGCATAATTAAAGCTCAATTTCATAGTGACATACGTGCTTTTAAATGTGATAATGGTGGGGAATTAAACAACACTCAATTCAATAACCTTTGTGGCACCGATGCATTCAAATCTGTTTCTCATGCACTTTAACCAAAAACAAGAAGTCCGAAAGAATGCTACAAAACATCAAGTGTACCATTCACACACTTTGTCGATAACTCTCCAAAATATTTCTCCCTGCCACAAGCTCTTCTAAAAGCAATCCACATACACTCACTTGCAAGTTTTTAGGTGTATTTGTTATCTTTACATAATCGCCTCTCATAAACTTGCCTAATGTTCCACTTCGTATGTTTTCCTTGGCTTCCCATCTCAACATCGGGTATATAGATGCCCAGACCTAGCCACCAAGAAAATCATAATTTCCACATATGTTACGTTTAATGAAATAATATTTATGTTTGGATTTATTTCACCAATAATATTTATGTACAGATGTCTCAACATGCATGATCCTCATTTTACCACTCTAAAGCTGAATCTTCGATACACTTGAGGAACTATGCATGATGGACTATATTTCTTTGCCTCACCCTCATGACGTCTTATCACTTACTCACATGCTAATAAGGTTTGTTCCCCAAATAAGAGGCGATCCACATCAAGATTGTGTTCTAGGCCAAAATCTTCTTTCATAGTCCTGAAAGAGGCAAGGAACCATATCTTGATTTAGTGCTGTAGGGTAGCAAATGAAGATTCAAATTTCACAAAAATCCATTAATTAAGAAACATATTTCTTTTAGATGCAAAAGTCGCTAATAACAATATAAAAAATAAGCACTAAGTAGTAACAAACCAAAAACACCAAATAAAACTTCATGCAAATAAAAAACTATGAGATATAAAATGAGCTTCATATTAACTCTTCAAAAGATCCCTTACAAAGAAATAGAGGACTCCAACATATATAGCCATTTATAAGACCGTACCGCACCAATGTGAGACATACCAACACAACTCCCTCCACCAGAGAAGGAATCTCGATGAGGATCGATAGGATGTGTCAAGCCATGCTGGTTCTAGATGTTGGTACCATGTAAGATGTATTATATATGTCGAGTCTCGTATTAACTTTAAAAAAACCTTATAAAAAGAAACCCCAAAATGAATAATTTGTTGGTGATTTTAGTGTTACCATGTCATTTTCAGTAACTGGAACCAACATGTGAGTTAAAAGGCTTCATGATTTGTACTATATATATGTACGGGGTTGTGCAGAGTGCACGAATGTATAAGATCGAGTCAGAAGTCGGTTCGATGACTAGTCGGGTGTTCGGGTGCAGCGCCCCAAAACCTTACCGAATTTTACATATGAGAACATAATGGAAAATTCAATTTCTTGAGGGTGATTATGGTAATACTAACGAAACTCGTTAGTTTTTGGTAACCTAAATCCTCATTAAATCCGGATTGATATTACTTGTTTCCAAAGCAACTAATGACGGCCCAACCCTAATGAAACCCTAATGGTGTTTAATATGTAAACAACTCTTCCTCTCCAAAAGGGGGTTACGATCTTAAGCTCTTATTTTTCATTATACATTCATAGAATCCTCTAACATATTGGCTTACGTTTTCTGTGCTTAGAAACATAAGTGTCCATTTGAATTATTCTAGATTGGATTTCTTGTAACACAAGCATAGGATAAAAATATCAGTTCGGAAAATGATATCACGATCCAAGTTGGTATCCAGATTTCCACTACATACTCTAAAGTTTTTCCTACATAACCGGCATATCTTGACTTGTCAAAATTATTTTTGAATATAAGATATTAGGTGGTCCTTGGAATTAAAGACTATTATACCCTACCTAATTAAATTGCCTTTTTTACACTTGTAAGCTTTCGCATTAGCCACCCTGCCCAATCGTTTCGAAAATATCTGAATGAGAGAATCTGTTTCTAAAGACCACATTTCTTTTCTAGAAAGGAGGTAAGAAAAACTTGGTGTTGTAATAACAAGAAGGCCCAATTCACTAAAGTAATAGATGCCTTGAAGCCAAAGTTGATAATTCCTTCAGGTTATTAAAATTCCTTGTCATCATTGAAAGGTGAAGTTGCTGTTGACAGAAATGTACTATGGCTGGTGCAACCTTAAATGCTTTAAATTACTCTCTTTGTGTTTGTCTTTTTGGTTACATTTATGTACCGGTGCAATGTACTCTGTATTTCTATTTTCCTCGTCTTGTAATTTTTTGCTAGCATCCTTTTTGGTTCTTTAATAATATTAATAGAATATTTGCTGTTGAAAAAAAAGTTAGAATCCTGCTTCCTACGGATTCTTTTTTGCGTTTATCAAGAATTTTTGGGATGCTATTCTGAAATCGGCTATTAGCCGTGTCATGACTCATGAGCAATAGGGATTTTTAAGATCGAAATATCCTTGATGGCTTGTTGATTATCAATGAGTTGGTCTCGGTGGCAAAGAAAGTGATGCGAAATATATTTATCCTAAAAAATGAATTCAAAATTTATTCCATAGGTGGGCATGGTAACTATCTAAAATTTGGAAAATTCGTGTCTTTTTAGGAGGTGTTTGGGATTAAAAATATTTATATTAGCTTATGATATTAACACGAAATAAATTGAGTTATTTTTTTTTTAATGTTTGACAAATTTTATTTATATATGTAAATTGGTTAAAAAGGATATTTTACTTATTTAACTTTACATATAAAAAGTTATTATTTAGTATGTATAATTTTATCTTTTACGCAAATTTAAACCAATAACATATATACAAAAGGAAAAGTGAATATACATTATAACCATGTCGTTTTATTAGCTAATTAGCTAATGATTTTCCTAGATAAAAAAAATACTACGTGATTTCCTAACAAATCATATCATTTTTAAAATACTACATGATTTCTTGAAAACAATTTTTTTCCAAAATATTTTCTTCTCATTATTGATTGTTGGGTAAGAGTGAAGAAATAAACGATAATGGATGAAAGAAAACGGGGATGGTTAAATGATAATGGAAGAAAGAACTGTTATGGGGATAATATATTTACCAAGTGAAAAACGAACCGAGTATATTCACTAATTTAAAACGATATAGTTTAGAGGTTTAGAACCTAAACTTAAGTAAAACTGTAATGTATATTCTGTATCTCAATATACAAAAATATATCATTTACAGAAATTTATGCTAATAATGATAAAAAATAGTATATTTTACAAAAACTCATTTCAATAATAAACATTTTTAACTCTTGTTATATTCAAACACTTCAAAAATATTTACCAGTCTTAACAAACCATAATAAATTAATAAGCACCGATCCAAAACACCCCTTACTCTTTTGTTTATGACTTCCAATTTCCAATTGGTCAAACTATAAAAATTGTAACTTCAACTTATTTTGTTGCTTAGTTTTTACTAATCGATTTGTATACAATATTTTCTATCCATATATAAAAGTATAAAACAATGATCTATGCATATTATAAAACTCATTTAAATTATTAATTGTTTATACAGATAAACAATATTGTCTACAAATCAGTTTTCCTTTTTCTAAAGTCTTTCATCCATCCATCCCTCCCCCCAAGAAAAAAAATGGTGTACATGTAGACGTGGGATACCCAAAATAATTGAGTTAACGAAGTATCCGTTTAATGCATTCTTTCAAGTTGTCGCTTCCAACTGTTTGGTCAAATGTGTAGCTGCGGTCAAAGAATAAGTTTCTTTTAACAGACTCCCAAAATCATGAAACAACATAAGAACTACTCTGCAACCATGGTTCTTTAACCCTTAACAAGGTCACACCGACCCTTAAAAAGGATTAGAGATCAAACACATTAATTATCTTAAACAAGGATATCTTTGTCAAAGAACTCATAACTTTTTTAGATAAAAAGTTATTATCAGTGGATTGAATGCACCATACATACCTGTTAACTGTTTGATAAAACCTGTCTACCTTAAAAGTCCTTTGAATTAAAGGGTTTCCAAAAAAAAAAAAAAAAAAATCTTTAGATCACCAAAATCTGTAACCAAGCATGCAAGCATTATGATCCGCAGAAGTATAACAAGATTTAGGAAATATATATATCAATTTTGTATTTTATTTTTTCTAAAAATTTCAACTACCAATTTTGTAACTCTATACTGGCAACTATGGAGTCCATGCATGGTGGGTTTCTGGATCTACCATTTCGAAGTTGACAACTATTTGAAAAAAGTCTACATGAGCTTTAGAAAAGAAAAAAAAAATTGAGGTATTAATGAGAAGCTTTTAGTAGGTGAAGATGCCACATTTACTGATTTGCATGTTAGCGAAGCTAAGGATGTGGTGCAGTTGAGAGCTCAATCAATGAAAATAATGGTGCATTACATTTTTTTTTAATTTCTTCTTCATCCCTCATTCATATATGGGTCCCTTACTCTCATGTGATCTTGTTCATATCTTTAGCAATGTCGGCAGCTAGCAGCCTCCATTGCCAAACTGTACTCAACACTCATTATATATACACATTACTAGTAACTGATCTAAGTACTCACTCAAAACTGAGGCTTTTTTAGAAACCCTATCACTCTATCTTATATTCTTATGTGCCTATAATAAAGTAGTAATGCAGGTTTATTCAGTCTGTAGGCCTGAAACCCTTTTGGGATTCTTGCTGATTTTAGTTTTTTCAGGGAGTTTCTGTTATGGTTATGATAAGGTTGTGGAGGTAGTTGGGATTGGAGAATGTACTGATTGTAAGGACATTAATATCAAGAGCAGCCATGCTTTATCAGGTAATCTTTAATTACTCATTGCTGCTAGAGTTACACTACAATTTAATGTTTTTCTGAATTAAAATGTTATGCAAATCGCTAAATGGAGGCAAACAATTGGACTTGTAAAATTAAGTACTAGATGCAAGAAATAGCAAAATTAGTTTCCCTTATTTGTGTATTGTAGCATCGACTATAGTTTCATTTTTTTTTTCTTTTCTTATTAAAGCATTCCCTTTCAAAATTCCATTTGTGTAGTGCATTCTACTTTCAATTTCTTTTCTTATATATATATATATATATAACTCGGTAGAATTTTCAAAATACAATGTTGTAAAATGAAAAAAAGAATATGAAACGCGCTATAATAAACGAAAGTATGTTTATAACTTTATTTAACCCTTTATTTTGATAAATAAAATGATAGTAAAAGTTTATATGTTTGGTTTTGTTTCAGGGCTTAAAGTAACCGTTGACTGCAAGCTTGAGAACGGGAAGCTCAAAACAAAAGGCGTGGGAGAGCTCGATGGTGAAGGGAACTTCAAGATCTCTCTTCCTCAAGAGATCTTGAAAGATGGGAAGTTGAAAGAAGAATGTTATGCGCAACTTCATAATGCAGCAAATAAACCATGTGCAGTTGATCATGATGGTTTAGAAGCCACCAAGATTACTTTCCTGTCAAAATCCGACCAAAAGCACACCTTCCAACCTGTCGGAAAACTTAAATTCTCATCAGCTGTGTGCACTTCTAAATTCTTTTGGCCTTATTTTAAGTATCCTCCTCTACCAACACTACCACCTTTGCCCAAAACACACCCATGGTTTGACCACCATTTTCCTCTTCCTCAATTTCCACCAAAGGTTTATCCATCATTCCCATTTCCACCACAAACACCATCACCTACTCCTGTTTATGACCCACCGGTTGTTGAGACTCCCCCTGTTCCGGTATACAATCCTCCTCCCGTTGTTGAACCACCACCGGTTTACAATCCTCCTCCCGTTGTTGAACCACCACCAGTTTACAATCCTCCTCCGGTTTACAATCCACCACCTGTTTACAATCCTCCTCCGGTTTACACACCAACACCAAAGCCAGAACCACCAGTAGTCAAGCCTCCTTGTGACCCAAAACCAAAGCCAGAGCCACCTGTCTACAAACCTGCTCCCATTCCAGTTTATAAGCCAAAGCCAAAGCCGCCGGTCTACAAGCCTGCTCCCGTCCCAGTTTACAAGCCAAAGCCAAAGCCAGAGCCTCCGGTGTACAAGCCTGCTCCCATTCCGGTTTATAAGCCAAAGCCAAAGCCACCGGTCTACAAGCCTGCTCCCATTCCAGTTTACAAGCCAAAGCCAAAGCCAGAGCCTCCCGTCTATAAGCCTGCTCCTATTCCAGTTTATAAGCCAAAGCCAAAACCACCTGTTTATAAGCCTGCTCCCATTCCAGTTTACAAACCAAAGCCAAAGCCACCTGTTTACAAGCCTGCTCCAGTTCCAGTTTACAAGCCAAAGCCAAAGCCGCCAGTCTACAAACCGGCTCCGGTTCCAGTTTACAAGCCAAAACCAGAGCCACCGGTTTACAAACCTGCTCCGGTTCCAGTTCCAGTTTACAAACCAAAGCCAAAGCCGCCAGTCTACAAACCTTCCCCTGTTCCAGTTTATAAGCCAAAGCCAGAGCCACCGGTCTACAAACCTTCCCCTGTTCCAGTTTATAAGCCAAAGCCAGAGCCACCGGTCTACAAACCTGCCCCTGTTCCAGTTTACAAGCCAAAGCCAGAGCCACCAATCTACAAGCCTGCTCCTGTTCCTGTTTACAAACCTAAGCCAGAGCCGCCAGTCTACAAGCCTACTCCGGTACCAGTTTACAAACCTAAGCCAGAGCCGCCAGTCTACAAGCCTACTCCAGTACCAGTTTACAAACCAGAGCCAAAGCCGCCTGTTTATAATCCTTCTCCGGTTCCAGATTACAATCCGACACCAAAATCACCATTGCCTCCGCTAATAGACCCACCTTCACCAAAGAAACCTTGCCCACCATTTTCTCTCCCAAAGCTTCCTCCTTTGCCCACCATTCCTCCAAAGTCTTTCCATCATCACCCCATCCTAGGAAATCATCATCATTTGCCCACCATTCCTCCAAAATATTTTCATCACCCCATCGTAGGGGATCTTCCTCCCCTACCTCCTAAGTACTCTCATCCTTAATTAAGACTTTGCATGCTATCAACAAACAAATAAATTAAGACTTCATGATTGGAAACAATTTGAGAAGATTATGCATAGAGATTGATAGATCCGGCAAAGCGATTAGGATTTCGTTTGTGCATGAATGTGTATCATGTGAAGATATTGAATGGGGTTTGTAAAGTTTCAAGTTTGCATTTATATTGTATCGATTGAATCAATAATTGTACTTTTAACTAAAACAAGTTATTATTTTAAGTTGTGTCTACGAGTGTATTGTAAGCCTTTTTCACGTTAATTTTCAATGCCATTTTTTTTTTTTTTTTTTTTTTTTTATTGTTTTTAGTAATTGCTTGCGTAACAATAAGAGTAGCGAAGTTATCAAAAGCCATGACATCCGGTAGCAATTTGATCAAGAGAGAAGAATTCGTGATGCCAAAGCTTGAAACTTTCAATTGTGCCTTGAATTGAGGAAGAAAGTGTAATATAGCTAATTAGACATCATACATTGCAATTCTTAACTTAAAAATTTTAAACATTTGTTATTTATGGAAGAATATTATCATACATTCTTAACTTCAAAAATATTATAACACATGCATTATAATACGTAAAGGGTGAAATCGTAAATAACTTCTAATATACAATCCAAGTTCAACAAACCCCTCCTAGCATTAAGGTAACCGCACGATGCTGCCACGTTACCATATGAACAGTTGAGATTCACTTTCTGAGTTGATCTCCTATCACACTCGACTATATATAACTACACCTTGTGTTTTTTACTGTGTGTAAAAGCGTAGATACCCGGTGAAAATAATTAAGGGTAAAATCAAACAATGGCAAATCCTAGGGTTTTCTTCGATATGACCGTCGGCGGTTCACCGGCCGGCAGGATTGTGATGGAGCTGTTCGCTGACACGACTCCAAAAACCGCCGAGAACTTCCGTGCACTCTGCACCGGTGAGAAAGGAACCGGTACTTCCGGCAAAAATCTGCATTACAAAGGATCCTCATTCCACCGTGTGATCCCCAATTTCATGTGCCAGGGCGGTGATTTCACCAGAGGTAACGGCACCGGCGGTGAGTCCATCTATGGCAACAAATTCGCCGACGAGAATTTCAAAAAGAAGCACACCGGTCCGGGAATCCTCTCCATGGCGAATGCCGGTCCGAATACCAACGGATCTCAGTTCTTCATCTGTACGGAGAAAACCGAGTGGCTCGATGGGAAACACGTCGTGTTCGGAGAGGTTGTTGAAGGAATGGACGTCGTAAGGGCGATCGAGAAGGTTGGATCTGGAAGCGGAACCACCTCTAAGCCCGTCGTTATTGCCGATTGTGGTCAACTTTCTTAGATTCATATCTATTTCCTGTTTTTAATTTCTCAATTTTGATTTAATTGTGTCCATCGTATCGACTATCATGGTGGTGGTGTTATCTAGGGTTTTGTACCGGTTGTGTTAAGGGTTTATATCTAAGTTGATGGTTAATGAAATAAAATTAAGTTTTCCAATTCCTTTGTTTGACCCGAGCTTTTGTACAAATCGTTTGTCTATGGGACCGGTGATTTTGAACTGATGGCTCTCGTTAAAATAAAAATAAAGCAAAAAGAAGTTATAGTAACCTTTAAAATATTCTCTCAACTGAGGCAAAGTCACGCTTTAAATTATAGTAACCTTGTCCTAGTTGTAATTTGGAGTTGGTTGAGAAGGAGAATGCTGAGTTGAATCCTATCAAGATTCATTGCGGAATCCGAGGAGCAGATTGTTCTTCTTGAGCAATAGAAAGTGGAAGCTGTTTACCAAATGGAGAAGGCTGTAGCAATGATGACAACTAATTCCAAAGAGCTGGATAGTTTCAAAGCCAAGATTGTGAGTGAGCGTTTAGACGGTCTTGTTCGGAAATACCGTAATGAAAGGAAGATAAGAGTTTTTCGCTAGGTATTTGACCAAATAAGATCGTCTAGTTTCTATAGAACCTATTACTAAAGTACCCCTAGAGAGGGATAAGGCTAAGCGGAGCGAAAAGAGTTTTCCATGAGACGAGAAATGCAAACTATTAGCCCTACAGGAAGTTTGTGAATAAGTGATTGTGTGATAATGAGTAAGGAATAACATTCTTTCTGCTAAAAAAGATATATTGAACTCATAATTCATTAGATACTTTTTATGAATGTCAACTAAGTATCATAAATAAACAATTGTTGGAAGTTGGAACACGCATCGAGTATGGTCTTCACAAGGGCTGTGTAGAAATAGGAGAGTAAGGTTTGGCACGCCACTCTAGAAAAACTAATTTATTTTTCGAGTTTTTTAGTTGATGTTTGATAAGTCAAAAAGCTAGTTTAAGATAACTTTTAAGTTAACTTTTAAAAAACTTCTCAAATATACTCTTAATTAATTCTAAAAAACTTATTTTGAAAAATACCATTTTATGTAATTTTATATCTTTCAGCTAATTTTTACCAAACATTCTTTTTTATCGGCTAGCTTATCAGTTAGCAGCTAACTTTTTAACCGTCAGCTAAATTTTCATATATGAGTTAGTTTTTCAGCTACCAGCCAAACGCAGCCTAAATATTTGTCTGATGTCACTAAAACTGTACCTATAGTTGTACCTGTATATTCTTACCCTGGTGCTAGTGGTCTTATCTAAAATTGGTTTACATCTCTAGTTGCCGAAGATTTTCCATTTGTAAGAACTTGTTCGTGTTGGGGGTCGAGTGTTGGTCACCGGTAAGGTAAGTGGTAGCGATTTTTATCTTTTAAACGTGTTAGATCTATCTTTTTACAAGTATGATAACCAAGGATTTATTATTATTATTATTATTATTATTTTAAATGTCACATTACTACAAGTTCAATTTTTATGAAACTATACAAATTTTATGAAAGAAAAGCATCAAACACAAAAATTAAAAATAAATAAATAATAATAAAAAAATCAATCAATATGTATGAAGGAAAAGCATCGAGCACTATAACTATTAACTACTAGCCATCAAAACAATTCAACAGAAATTCAATTAGGAACCAAGGCAAAGAATTTGTTAAATATAAAATCACGTAGACACTAGTCCATCTGATATCACTATGCAGTGATCGATTCCATCAAGTAATTTTTACGGTGTCATATGATTGACATCTCTTTTAAACAATTTGTTAAATATTACGCGGATGCCAATTAAAATAACTACTGAATTTGTGACTTTTTAAGGGTTTTATACTAGCTTTATAATCTTTTATCTAGTTACAAGATACATTATGGTTAATATTTTAACGGAGTTTTTACTATGACGGGTTTTATGTGGATTTTTGGCTTGAACGACGATCACTTTGATCAACTTGTTTCCGGAGCAAAGATGAACGAACCCATCTAATCGAATACCAACAACATAAATAATCATCGTAATTAGCAATTACGACTAACATATGAAACAAACACACCAATATGTTGTATGAAATCGATACTAGCCTTGAAATTGATTGAAGCTTCCGTTGTGGAAACTGATTTAAAAGATTGATACTATGACATCGATAGGTTTGATGCTTTTATAGAAATTGGTTTGGAGGGAAAACTTAGCGTGCGTTTGGTTGCATAAATCTTTCCAGTTTTCTAGGAATTTCTTTTCAAGAAAAACAGAAACTTTGAAAACGCGTTAGGTTCGTTCAGTTTTCTAAAGCTTTTTAAGAAAATGAAAATTTTCAGCTTTCCAAATTATATGTAAATTAGAAAAGCAAATTTTACAGTTTTCTAAAATTTTTCAAAATTTTAAGATAAAAAATGAAAACTCCACCGCTTCTAACCAAACGCGTTTTCTAAATTTTTTATTGAAAACTGAAAATGAAAACTCAACTTAGGAAATAACAATATTTTTCTACAACCAAACGCACCCTAATGTTGCATTTAGTTGCGGAAAAATGGACCGTTTTTCGGAAAAAATTCCAAGAAAAATGAGAATTTTAAAAACACGTTTAATTCGTCCATTTTTCTAAATTTTTCACGGAATATGAAATATTTCCGTTTTCTAAAATTACAAAGAAGTTGGAAATTTTTGGAAAACCGATAATCATTGTTTTTCATATTTTTTCTAATTCCAAATTTTTATCTAAAATATAAACACACACATACTCCCACCCACCCACCTCTACCTACCCCCACCTTAACACCCCCAACCCACCACACCCCTACCTACCCGCACTCACCCACTCCTACTCCCAAACCCACCCCCCACAAACACACACACACACAAACACGCGCACATACACACACCCATCCCCACCCACACCCACATTCCCACAAACACACACACACACACACCCATAAACACATCCCCACCCCTACCCTCACAAACACACCCCCCATACCCACACCTATCCACCCACACCCCCATACACACATACACACACACCCACACCCACACCCACACACCCACACCCACACACCCACACCCACATACACACACATCCAACACCACTACCACAATCACCAACCTACCATCAGTCCATCACCATCACCACCACCACTACCCCATCACCACTGTCGCCGCCATCATCACCACTACCTCATCTGTGACATCCCCATTTTCACGGCAAAAAAAGATTGATTTTTGTTTATGCTTTATAAAAATCAGAGTACCTCTTTTAATAAAAATATTGTGGAATTTGTTCCCAGTAAAACATGATAAATACGTTATCAAAGCATTTCCGAAGAAAAGTATTTTTATTCATTTTAAAACATTTGGGATGTCATCGTCAATACAGAAACATAAGCATAAACAAAACTTACATTCATTATCGCTAGTGATTTATATCTCCTTAATCTCTCAGTGTAATTTGACTTCATATCAACACCTGTGATATAAATAAGCTGAGTGGATCAGGTTGGGAAACTTGGTGAGTACATAGGGTTTTCAACCCACAATAATATAATTATTATGTTTAAACAATCAAACAATCAACCCAATTACCCATCCCCATTATCTTCTTTACTCTCAAGAGTCTACCCTAAGAGTCATC